CATTAGATTGCATCGTCGATTCTTATGGTGATGTGAACAGTATCGGTGTTGTTGCCTTAAGTCGTGGAAGACGGAGGTTCTACTAATATATCAGTGAAATTCGGATTGAGTACAAGGAGTTCGAGACTAACGTGATAGTGTTGTTTCTTGAAGTTGCCATTCATGCTGGAAATCTGATACCGGTGCGGAAACTACTGGTGGGGTGTAAAACGGGCTGTATTGCCCTCCCCTGCGATAATTTGTGGGGTCGGTCTAATACAGCCCATGGTTCAGGCCCGTATCGTGTCGCGGGCCAGGCTGGCCCGTGGGTCAAGTTTTGGACTAGGTTGGACCATGCATCGGGCCAAAGCTATTTATTTAAAAAAAATTGACAAAAAACTTCAAATTTTAATTTCATATTAATTTTGATGTATACAATTGCTTATATATACAATAATTAAATAAATTAGTATAATAAAATTTAAAAAAATATTTATTTTATTAATATATTATATAATTATAATATTATATAAATATATATATAATATAAATAATATATATGGGTCGTAACACGAGCCCACGTACCAACCCGACTCGTGGACCTAAAACCCCAGGCCTAGCACGCCCCGCACGATCATGTTGGGCTTGGCACAACCTACGGACCATCATGCCAGGCAATGGCCAGCACAACCTGATTTACACCTCTAACTACTGGTAAGCCATGCACTTCTCTCAAACTCGTTGCAACTGTTCATTTATCATTTGTATATAAGCAGAGGATTTTGGCGAGGTTGGAACATTTCATTCCTTTTCTACTTGATTTTTTTTCTCTGCATTTTATTTTGATTTTTTTTTCTGAACAAAAATTCATTCTTCACTTCTACATATTTTGTTGAAATTAGGATTTTCACATTTATCCTTTTTAGTTGAGGTTTTCCTACTTAAATTTTAAAATCTTCTTTTATTCCCAAGAGGAATTATTCCTAACTCTTAAATCTGGAGACAAGCTAGATGGATTTCGACATTGAAGTGGAGGTGAAATTTCCTCTTCATTTTCTGGACTTTTTTTTGTAATTTATGTTATTTTTCATGTATTTATTTGTTTTTTTGTAATTTATGTTATTTTTCTTCAATTTTTGGGTTTTTTCATAATTTATGTTATTTTTCCATGTATTTCTTTGTTTTTTGTAATTTATGTTATTTTTCTTAATTTTTTGGATTATTTTTGTGTAATTTTCATTATTTTATCTAAATGAGTTGGGTTGGGTTAGGTTCAGGTGGGTTTGGGTTGAACCCAACCCATTTAATTCTATCTAATTGGGTCATTAATGGGTTGACGGGTTAGATGGGTTGGGTTGAAACTCAACCCAAACCGAACCCAACCCAACCCGCCCAATTGCCACCTCTATAGACCCAAATCAAGCTATTGAGTATTGAACAAGACCACGCAGACAGCGATACACAAACAACATCCAAGGTCGGTGCACTTATCAGCTTCAACTCGGCTTGGGTCAGCCTTGAATTGATTATTGCAGTAATTCAATAAATATATAATTAGTGATTATAATTAATAATTATTATTGTTAATAAATGGATATTTACTTTAATTTTACTTTAAATTAAAATTATAAATACTATTAATAAATTTAGTAATTATTTTTATGTTAAAAATAATTTAAAATGTTATTAAAAGTATTGTTATTGATTATTTAATAAAATATTATAATTATTGACTATTACTGATATACAAATACTGTTCATTTAATTTAATTTTGGTAATTATTAATTTAATGAATATTGATTAAAACTATCATTACTGATTATTTAATAAAATATTATATTAAAAATGACTAAATTGTCTTTTTGCTTGTTGAATTTCTTTTGTTTAAATTTCTGGGTTTTGTGCTTTGAAGATTATTACATTGTGTTAGTTAAAAATACTATTTGCATTTAACTTAATGAATTGCTTCAAGGTTCTAAATATCGACACGGACCGATACGCCTTGTGTCGGTGTTTTTTTTTATATTTTACTTATTTTTTTCGAAATCAATTCAGAGAGGCCGGTTTAAGGCTTGGCTACCCTCTAAATCAGTGGCTGACCCGATACAAGCCGAACGTGTTAATACTTTGAACCTTGAATTTCTTTGGTTTACATTTATAGATTTTGTGCTTTGAAGATTGTTAAATATTGTAAGTTAAAAATATTGCTATTTTTTTTTTGAAATTTGATAACTGTTATACCTAAAATTGTCAAATAATGTAAGAATAACAATTGTCAAATAATTATAAAAATTATCAAATATAAATTAAAAGAATTTACCATCATTAGACATAAATTACCAATATTTATAAAAAATTACTAAAAATAAATCAAAAGAAATTATCATAAATTAGTAGACTTTAGGATGATAATTACTTGAAATTATCAAATAATATAATCCTAAATACATTCAAATAATGTGCCAAAAATTATCATAAATTAGTAGAAATGTCCAACAATAGCCACTGAATTTCATAAAATCGATAAATTACTATAACTTACCAATAAACTATCAGATTATAAATATAATACATTAGTATATATTTACCAAGAAATTAGTATATAATAGAAATTACCAAAAATTAGTTGAACTTAGCCAAAAATAACCACTAATTTCCATAAAATATTATATTTACCAAGAATTATCATAAATTATTATATAATAGAAATTACCAGAAGTTAGTAGAACTTAGGGAAAAATAATCACTAATTTCCATAAAATATGATAAAATAGATGAAATTAGTCTAACTTTGTAAAAATAACCATTAAATTCCAAAAATTAGTAGAACTTAGGATAATAATTACTTCAAATTATCAAATAATATGAACCTAAATAAATTACAGTAATTTGCCAAAAATTGCACTTCGTTTTCCATGCATCGCATGGGTCCCCGCTAGTTTTATAGGGATTTTAATTCAATGTTTATCCATGACATGATCTTTCTCTTTTTGCACATCAATTGGAATCAAATGAATCACCATCCATTTGTCACATACTAAGGACCCGTTCCTTTTTTGGACTTTAAGAGGGAAAGTTGGTGAATGGTATTTTGATGTGATCCAGATTCCAAATACTTACATTCTTTTTTCATATTTGTGTGGGGTTCATGAAAAATTTATTTTCCTTAAGACTTAGGTGGGTAAGTAACTTTTCCACTTGGGGGTAGGGGTGTAAATAGACCAAATCATGACCGGTCTACTTAAATTGCTATTTATTTTTTATAAAAAAACATGCATATGATAAAAATAGTTGAAAAGATACTTGTATTTTTTTGTTTTTCTTTATTTAAATTGTTATATTTTATTTTTCTTTTAACAATTTATTATTATTTTTAAATAAATCGGATTGGATCAAATCCAAATATCTAGCTTCCTCATTGGATTTGGATTCAAATCCTTATTTGTGAGATCCGATCGGATCCTCGAATCGGATTCAAATATAATGTTTGAATCCCTACTTGAGATGGGGGGATGGGGGAGGAAGTTGCCAACACTTGGATGGAACAAAATTACCCCTTTTAATAATGGCTTTTTATGGTTAAAATGGTCATTGTTTTATTTACCTGGAAAATAAAAGAACATGGGTAAGTGCATTTACTTGAGTAAGTATTTCATAGGAAACACTTACCCGGATAAAGTTCATTTACCCATGTAAGTAACTTCCCAAAAAGCAAATGGGGCCTACTAGTTAAATTCCCATGGGAATAGGATACCAAAAGTTGTAGTGGCAACAAAATGTTAGAACATTCTGTGAGTGAGCCTATCCTATTCATGAATTACTTGGGCTCAACTTGCTAAATATTCAAACTTGGTTGCAGTAATCAAGTTCAAGTTGAGCTCGACTCGAATCAAATACTTGATCGAGTTGAATCCAAATTTCGTAATAACCGGCTTGAGTGGCTTGCGAGCTTAATCAAGCTCATAATAAAATACTTTTTTTAATACATTTACAATTGATTTTTATAATATATTTTTATTTATAATATTTTGTAATATTAATTTATTTATATTTTACTCAAGTTAAAAGCTCGCGAGCATCAACTCTAGTAGAATTAAGTCAAATATATAAAACTTGATCGAGCTCGAATTGAATTTTAAGCTTAGTTCGGAAGGAATACAAATACAAATATATAGAGTACAAATATTTTTATTTTATATGTATTTATACTCCTTCCAAACTGAGCCTTGTCCTCGAAATCAAACAGTTTGATACTCGGCTCGACTCGATTTGATCACAGACCTTCCCAATTTTCACACTAGCATGTTGGAATTACATTTTTGCCAGAATTTTTAATGGGCTTGTATAATATGAGCAAATACTCTTTGGGCTCTGGCCATCCAAGCCCAAAACTTTGAGCCACATCAATCTCAATCAGTGGATGCAATGCAGCATGACATTAATACATTATCAGATGATACACCCACCCTTTAGTTTGTAATATTTGATTTGAAGTTGGGAAAATGTATGATGCCAAAAAGATATGATATGGAAAGAGTTTTGACCAATCAAGAGTAAACATGAATGAATTTTGATAAATAACACGGTTATATCATATTGATGATAGTGCCACCGTTAGATCAGGTGCCAAAGATGATAAGATGATGGGGAGCATCAGTAGGTAAATATGTCACATGATGAAACATTGATGTAAGCAAAACAGAGAGAGACATCATTTTCCACAGCCACAGGAAAGCTTTGAGCCAGCCACTTGTCTGGAGTTGATTGGATTTCTAAATTCCACGTGGGACAAGACTAGAATTTGCTACGCGAAGATTTGTGGGACCCGCAAGATTTTTTGCCGACCAACAGCAAGAAAGATATAGATTTGTGGATATGGCAACAAGATAAGTAAGGAATTAAGGATAAGGATCCAACGCTCTGATTGGTCGGTTTAACCCTACACCAGATCCTGACCGTTGGATTCTCGTCAGCTTCCAACTCTGAATGTGAACCACAAGAATATGGTAGAAATGAAATACAAAAGGACACACAAAATACACTCTCAATAGCCAAAGCCTACACCACTGCAACTCCCCCCCTCCGGAGATCCGCTTGTTATTTACCGGAATTTCGATGGCGACGGTCACAACTCAAGCTTCAGCTGTATTCCGGCCATGCACATCAAGATCAAGGTTCCTCACTGGATCATCCGGCAAACTCGCTAGGGAAATCTCGGTCAAAACGGCTGCTTCGTCGTCGCCCGGTTCGTTTAAGATCGAAGCCAAGAAGGGAGAGTGGTTGCCGGGTTTGGCCTCGCCTGGGTATCTTAATGGCAGGTAAATGAAAAGATCTTTCTGTTACAGTCTTCGTATGCAGGCTTTTCTATATATCTCAATGGTGGCTTTGTTATTGTTATACTAAAAAGTGAATTATTTGATTGACGACAGCCTCCCGGGCGACAACGGGTTTGATCCTTTGGGACTGGCAGAGGACCCCGAGAACTTGAAATGGTTCGTCCAGGCGGAGCTTGTGAATGGGAGATGGGCCATGTTGGGTGTCGCAGGAATGCTGTTGCCCGAAATCTTCACCAAGATAGGCATAATCAATGTACCAGCATGGTACGACGCAGGGAAGGCTGAATACTTTGCATCGTCTTCGACCCTCTTCGTGATCGAGTTCATCTTGTTCCACTACGTGGAGATCAGAAGGTGGCAAGACATAAAGAACCCAGGAAGTGTGAACCAAGATCCCATCTTCAAGAACTACAGCTTGCCTCCCAATGAAGTTGGATACCCCGGCGGCATCTTTAACCCCCTCAATTTTGCGCCAACCATGGAGGCCAAGGAGAAGGAGATCGCCAATGGTAAACCATTAATGCTCACCATCATTCATCAAGTTTATATATTTAACTTTAAGCTGCGGAAATCACCTTGGAGGTTTCCACTGAGTCCACAGTTGCTAGTTTTTTACTTGACATTTTTAGGCTTATCTGAATCTCATTTGCAGGGCGGTTGGCGATGTTGGCATTCTTGGGATTTGTCGTCCAACACAATGTGACCGGGAAAGGACCCTTCGACAACCTTCTACAGCATCTCTCTGACCCGTGGCACAACACAATTGTCCAAACGCTCAGGGGATTCTAAATCGAATGGGATACAGAGACTGTATTTTAATCTTTTGTAACCATGAGTTTATGGGATCTGAGTGAAATGAGATGAGCTTCAATGTAGAAAAATGAAACCTTCAATGTACAGGGGATCTGAGAAGACATTATTACTGTATTTCAATCTACATTTTCTTTGGCTTTATTATTCATCACTTTGATCATTTATTATTGGCTTTCCTAACACAATGAAACAAAGGATGAGATGCCCATGAATTTCTAACGATGAAAAATAAAATAAAAGCATTCCCATGGAAAACCATCAAGAATGAGTACAGGTGTTTAACTGAATTACCATTATTACTATGAATTTAATTTACAGCTCAGATTACTGAGAAATGAATAAAGGAGAATCTCCCCTTGTCACGAGTAACATTGTCAAGGGAAAACGGAAAAGATGAATTGAAAAACCTATAATCATATATGGTTAATACTATACAAACAATTAGGTATTACAGATTCGGTATTTCAAATGATCGAATAGGTGCTGCCCTTCCATTTTTGCAACCGAACAATGCAAGTCATGTACATGTATGACACTTGCACCATACCATATGGGACCGCCTGCATTAAGGATACTGGTTCAACATCCAGAACTGGTACATCCGCATCATCTTTGTGGATTTTGCATACAAAAAGATTTGGTGCAGATGCACATTATGGCCACCCAACTTGATCAGAAAGGGAACATTAACATCGCTTTGAAATTCAGTTTGGTTGCTGAAAACAATTGCCAGCTTCTTCAAAACTGGGAGGCAGTCCCTAGCTAACAGAAAAACCAAGAACAGTTGTAGCAGGAATAGGAATAAAAATCAGATGATAATCTTCAAATTAATAAATTTCTATGTTGACAGTTAATAGATCAGATGACCCCATAATTAGACTTGCTGCATTCATCTGTATGTTAGAAAGTCTTCCTGGACATTGGCCCAGAAAAATCAAAAGAGAAAAAAAAAATCCATTGAATTGATGGTCATATATCATCCCATTTGAAGATATAAATAATTTAAATAAAAGCTAGTGCACTAAAATTTTGGGGTTGAGGCTTTCTCTGAACCCAGATGTTCTTAAGATTGTAAATATCTCCAACCGGCCTTGGTGGCAAAAAAACATGGAAGATATTAACAAACAAAGAAATATGACACTGCAAGTGGAAAACTATGTCTCAATTTCCTGTTGTCTACATTGATATCCTATCCATCCAGAAAGCATTTTGCCATGAACTGTATCCAGATAAATTCTTAGCTTCTCAGCATATAGTGCCATAAAAATGAAAATCATATGGAGTTGAACAAAGCCATAACATAATATGAGAACACTTACTTGTGGGTATGAATGCTCATCAAACATGGTAATGGAACATGAGCCAGAAGAAGAAGCCCAGCTTCGATTGCTTGGGTCATACCCAGGTCTAGCTGCCTCAAAGCCACTATTAACTTGATAATCAACAGGGTTTTCATGTAAGCTCATTTCTACTTCAGTCTTGAATTTCTTCTCGCTTAGCAAATTAAATCCATATGGTGGATATGGATATTGCCCACCCAGTTGTAGCCTCAGGCATGCATTTCTGCTTAACTCATCCAGTGCTCCACCTTCTTGTCCTGAACTATCAACCTCTGGTTTGACCGCAGTAAAGTATGTAGAAAAGCTTGGAATGGAAGCATCAGTAGAGCAGTCCAGATCTCTAGGGGAACACAGTGAATTTGCTTTCAATGGCTTATGGAAAAATATCAAGTTGGCAGGGATATCCAATAATTGGTTCAGAAAAATATTCCAGACAGGAAATTGAGTAAATTAAGCAGGTTGGCTTAAAGATAATGGATGAACCTGAAAAGTAGTGTGCCATGCATGTGCTCTTACACGTGTGCGTGTGTGTGTGTGTGAGAGAGAAAGAGAGAGAGAGAGAGAGAGAGAGAGATGCCTGATTCGGTGAACCTGAAAAGTAGGATTCAGGGATTTGGCAAGTCACTTCAATTCTTATATTTGTTTCTTATAATCTACCTTATTTTATTTTATAATGGAACACACTTTTAACAGAAAGCAAATAAAACATAGAAGCATAAATCAAAATATTTTCTTTGAAGCCAACATAAATTAAACAGCACTAAATAATTAAAATTGTTTAATATTTGATCATAATCAATTATCAAGTACTTCAATTTCATGGTTAATTCCCGAATTTTATTTTAATAATCCAAAGTTTTTTATTCACATGCTACAGATTTGACCAAGAGAGAGCCTTTGCAAATGTCTGAGATGGGTCCAGTGCCCATTTTGAAGAGGCTGTAAGATAGCTGTAGTCTATCATTAGGAAAGACAACCTTCCTAATTATTATGGCCATTGAATAGTAAAACCAAAACCTCTTTAGGCACAAACTTATCTAGAGAACTTCCACTCATCTACAGAAACTAGAATGGTTATAAACTTACTATTAATGGAACAAAATCGTTTTACAAAATATAACATAGTTTTAGTAGCAATACAGAAAATGCAGTTTAGTAGTGCATATATTGATTATTTAGCACAAGATGTGTGATCTTATAGAAATTTAAAGGCAAAACACATTAAATGAATTCAGTACCTACATACATACAATAAAGAAACTAAATGAAGCGAATGCACAAACACACATGCATATTTATGAGCAAGCTAACATCATGGTCCTTGTTCATCACAGATACCTCAAATCACAAGAAGACAAGACATAAGCAGGGTTTGTGTGCAAATACAGGGGTTTATGGAGTGTTACTTCTTGGCCTTTTGTGATTTAAGGGGACTGTGACAGCCAAGCCTGTGACACTAGCATCTACCATATTATATTAACAACTAATCATTGCTCTTCAATATAAATTAAGTTGCCCCAACAAGCATTGGAGCAAAGCTGGCTGGTTTCTTTCACTTCTACATTGTAAGATCAAACTTCTTTGGAAGTCAAACATAAGTGACAGGAATCAATCCAGAGAAAACATAAAGATCAGGTCCCTTTAATAAGTGTTGAATCAGCACAGATACTTCCACAGACTGTAATTAAATCCTATAATGGGGTACAGCAGAGTGGAATAACTTCACTTTAGATAATTATCAGAAAAAACACTTCACTTTAGATGAGATGATGTTCCAATTTTGTTTGGAAAACATAATTATAGTTCATGCATGAAAGTTTCTTAGCACTTCTCAAAGCAGAAAGGCTTTGTACTTAGCTGACACCTCAGCAGTTGGCACAAGGCTTAGATGATGATGACGACACCTATGAAACCAATGCAGCTGGTTCCAACCAAGTTGGGCAATTAGAAAGTGTTGAATTAGTTATTTACAACTTAATATGGGCAGATCACTCACCTTTGAGACAGCAAGTTGGGATCCTCTGGTAACATTATATGTTGACTATCATTGCCAGGAAGCCATGAAATGGATTGTGCTTGTGGCTCACTGCTCATTCCCAAGGGTAGATGCATTTCATTCTGGAACTACAATATTGAAATACTACATTTAAGACAATTACCCAAAAGGAACTTACAAAACTTTTATCATTATGCAACAATAAGCAAATTACAACATGGGTAGAATAATTCATACTTGGCTACTGCAATCCAGTGAGATAAGCTGTTTTCCAAAATTTTCCTGCCAAATGGAAGTAAACTTTGTCAATACAATACAATCATCAAAGGAACCAAATATAGAGCCATATATCACTTGGCGGGCCTATCAAGTATTTTCCAGATCCGTTATTGACTCACATGGACAGCAGGGGCAAGGATTAAAATATCAATACACCCAATACTGATATCCATGTGTATCTGGGTGCAGCAATATGGATACGATATGCATCAATGTTTTAATCCTTGGGCAGAAATGCATCAGGACAGAGGTCAGATAAGTAGATAGCATAAGTGCCTCAATACAGTACTACCTTGCCAAGTAGTACTACCTATTTTTTTAACGAATCCAAGTAGTACTAACTAATGAGCACTACATCATATAAGGATACTGTCTGACAAAAGATTGTGGAAATTGTTAAAATTAATGAGTGTAAGACTAAATGGTCATAAAAATTATGGTATAATCTTAAATTCTTTAAGAATTGAATATAGTCTCCAAAGGGTGCTAGAAATGTGACATGAAAATACATCTTTGTAAAAAGACACCTAAAGTATAGAATAAAAGTCATACCTTATGAGTTCTAATTTGGTTAAGTGATTCTTTGAGGGAATCTTCCATTGCCCTCAGATGTTCTATGTGTTCGATTTTATCTGGATTAGTCCAATAGCTGAAGAAAATGAAAAGTTGAACAATGTTACCATGACAATGATCAATTAAAACCTGTGTTTTGTTAATATGCATGCAAAATGGCACATACAAAAAGGTATTTTAAAGTTCTAAATAATATAAAAAGAAAATGGTAAAATTTTCACAGAAAGATGAACAATAAAGCATGATGATGCATTGGAAATCGTTTACAGAATTCTCGTCAAAAAAAAGATTCCATTAAGGATCACCTACACCAACTCAGGCTAACTTTATCCACATCTACTTGAACACATTAACAGATCAATTTCAGTTTAGAAGATAATAAGGATATTTATTGAATTAATTTTAGCAAAACCAACTCTTGCTATTGATTATACTTTTGTTCTAACTACCCTTGAAAATGAGGAAACTTGAAAGTCTTACAAGAACTTTGCATGGCCAAAGGAAATGGCACAGTATAGATGGAGTTTGATCAAATGTAAAATGCAAGAAAATGGGTGGCATGCTGGGCTTAAAAATGAGACCATTTGCAAGGGAGAGAGTAATGCTACTACCCTTAAAATACAACTTTTAGATGGTTTACTTTTTAAAATTGCTCTAAGAAATGTGTTATGGGGCCAGGAATAGGATCTCGTCACGGGTCGGTCCACGGGGAAAACCTCCTGTTTTCCCTTGTTCCTCCCTGCTCTTGATGAACCTATCTTGGCGC